CAGGCCTCGGCGGGGCCGCGCAGGCCTCGGCGGGGAGGTGGGGAAGGGGCCGGCGCTGCCGGTGGGATGTCTGACAGACGGACAGACAGACAAAGGGCCGGGGGAGCTACGGACGGACGGACGGACAGGCAGCCTGTAAGCCCCGGGCCCCGTCCTGCCGGGCGGCCGTATCCCCCCGCTGCCCGCCGCTCCATTGTTCCTGGTGTAAGAGAGGTGAAGTGTGCCGACTTGGGAAAATGTTCTTAATTTAATGTCATTTTTTCGAATTGTCTTTGCCGAGTCTCCTCTCGGCTGCTCGGAGGACGCTTTTGCAAGGGACCTCTCTCCAGCTGCTAACAAGTGCCGGGCTGGAAGTGGCTGGGAGGGCAGGGGGGACCAGTAGGAGTTGAGGAGAAATTAGTCGGGCTTTAAACACTTTCCCTCTTCATCGTCTTTCCTCCCCTAGTCCCTGCCAAACCTCAGCTGGGACCAGTGCAGCAATGTCTGTGTTAAGCTGGCTCGTAAAAAGGGAAGGCATTTATGTTGCAAACCTAAATCATCTCTCTGATCACTTTGTTTTTGTAAACTGTTCAGAGCAGCTGTGAGGGCTTTTGCACAATGATAGAACAAGTAGCTATCTAGAACCCAGTGATCGCAGCTTTAGTCTTGCTGTGCAAGTCTACCTGGAGTGTGACCTGTCTCTGTCCACAGACATGTGACAGTCTGGTCCATGAAGTTTTAGATGGGAGAGATGTCTTATTTCTGATGAGCAGCATCTTCCCCATTGGTACAAGACGTGTGACAGAGGACTATGGCTTTACTCTTGAATAGGATCTGGTTGCTTTGTTTATTTGCTGTACTTATTCACAGATTTCAGTAATACTTTTCAAGCTTGCTAGGAATATGTACCTGGGCCTGTCATGCTTAAACACTTTGGAGTCCCCATATCAGATTTCGTCCTTGTAAGTGATAGAACTTTTGCAGTCATTCTTCATGAGTTTGGTGATGCTTTCATAGTGAAGGAAAGAGGTGGAAAAATAGTGCTAACCTGTATCAATTTTGAAGGCATTCTTGTGTTGTACTCAAAATGAGACCAGATAAACCAATGATCCAATTGAGACTTGAAATCCTGTCCTGCTATGCAAAAAGTTTGCATACCTTCGGGCAGTGTTAGTTTTTCAGTGTTCACTTCCAGTGTTTGGGATTCATGCATGTTTCCAGTGACAGCTGTCATCTGCAGAAGCTTTGGCTGTGCTGGGAAGCTCCAGAGTTCGGGAGGGCTCCTTTCCTGTGGATCTCCTGGGATCTGCAGACTCTTGGTACAGGGTACAGTCAGAGTCATAGCAGAGGCAGGCAAACCACACTCTTGTTGCGGTGATTAAGGAAAACTCTACAAAATTAATTGTTCAGTTGCACGATTTCCTGAAAACAGTTGTCATGGCCTTTCTTGATGAATACTCAGCTGAATGTACATGTGTATTCAGTTTCCAAAAGTATTTTCTTCGCAGTTGTTTCTGGATGTCTGCATGCCCTTCTTCCCCAAATATCCTTGTAGTTAGTCAGTGAGCTCATATAACTGAATAAAGCTAAAAGACATGAGGCTCTGACCTCTTGTATTTAGCTGCCATGTGCACGTATACTTTTTCTGTCTTTGCTCCTCAGGCTAACTAAGGCCTGAGAGAACAAATATATATATATGTAATCTATTTTTCCGTTATTGTCCTTCTTGTCCATATGTGTTTAATTTCTACTGTATTGCAAACATATTTTATTTATGGAAAATCCCTAATATGATGGATTATGAAATCAAATCTTAAGTTGGTAAGTTACTACTTGAAGAACCACAATGGTTAAAAAAACTTGGAAGAAAAATTGGAAGAATGTGAAAAGTTACATTATAGGCTAGATTGTTCACCTGAAGAAATGCATGCTTCTGTAATATTATTATGGAGCTTCTCAAAAGGTGGTTTTCCCTCTCAGTTTAGTGTGTATGAGTTAATTGGCATTAGGATTTCAAGTCCTGTGGAGCATGCACGTATTCTAGAGACAGCTGGTGGTGTAAAACCACTAATAGTGGAAGTTCTTACTTCCAGCTGAGAAATTCCATGTACCAGTACCGTTAGGGTTGACCTATGTGAATACTAAGAATATATTACTCTAGTGAAATACGGTGACAGTACATCTAAAAGAGTTTAGCTCACTTCTAGGTGGGTTCTTTGCACCACAGGTTTGATAATGTAAATTTGCAAATAGTGAAATTCACGGTATCGGTTGTTAGTGTGTGGATTTAGGTAAAAAACGTTTTAAAATTTAGTAATGGAGAGGAAGGGTTTGTTCTATTCTAGTATTTTGGGGAAAAGCAGAGTGGGACTATCTTCTGTATCTGCTGCTAGAAACTTGTGCTGTTTCTTGTGACCGGGATCTTTGTAGAGTCTTCCTCTGGTTAAGACTGTTACGTGGGCTATTGTCCTGTTGTAAATACTACAACTGGAGAGCTGTCTGTATGGAGTATTTTGATGGAGTGGGTCTTAATCTATGAAGACCACTTTAATTATTTAGCATAATTTGGGATTAAGTTTGGCTTAATTTTGACTAATATGGAATACGTTTTTCTGTCTGAAGTAACAAAAGTTAGAAATAATAATGTAATAAGTTTCTTGTCCAAACTTAACAATGTCTTTTATATTAAATGAATGGCAAAAGGAATGAAAAGTAGGTGCCATGGGAAATATTTTTTACTTTGAAGACTCTTAAGGGGATCTAACAGAGAAATAGATATGTTTTATTTAAAATAAGTACTTTTTGTGCCTTTGTCTGGCATTTTAATGATAGCTGCTTTTCAAACCAGCATCATTTGTGATGAAATAGATTCAAGCCTTCAGCTTTGCAATCTCATCTGCATAACTGAATGTTTAAGAGAAATGAAGTCCCACGAAGTCTCCATGGATGTAAGCAGACATGGGTGTCTGCTTCTATCGGGTTGCAGGGCTTATTTGAGGAATCAGTATTGTGATTAACTTGCGCTTTAATTTGTTTGGGTTTTTTTGACTGAAATACTTTTGGGAAGATAGTATTTCCCAGAATACTGAGATTCACAATTTTTTTTTTTTTTCCCCCGCTTCTGTGTACTGGACTCTGTGCAGAAACCCTTGAACTAGTAGTGAGTTTATACATTTAACTTACTGGTTTTGAAGAGCTGAGACATAGCTATTGACAGGACGTGTCAGCAAAACACAGCCTTTGGCTATAATGTGCCAAGCACAAACTTCTGTCTAACAAGAGAAAATCCATTCAGATTTTCATGAGATTTATTTTCATTTACACAAATGTTGTTAGTTACTTTATTTCAGTACTTCCCGGTGAACTTAAAAACACAACTCCATCTGTTTAGCTCGTTAGTACCCTATATACATTTTAAATACGCAATTTTGTTCATCATCTACATAACAGAATATTTTATACATCAACAATAATGCCGTAAACTATGCAAGTGACTTAGGTTTAACCTATTTAAATTACAAATTATTGTAGAAATTAAAATACAATAACATATGTGAGTATTTCAGTATTATAATTGTCTTCCCTTGACTACATATAGAGATATTTTTCATATGTTGTTCAGCTATTCAGCATGTTGGATAAAATATCTAGAAAAGTCCATAATATGTTCTTAAAGAAGTTGATTAGAATGGTGTCCTAAGGGGAAATTCAGTGTCTTTTTAGAAAGACTGTGGAAAACACAACAAGCAGAAGAGTTAGAATCTCCTGGTAACTTCTTCCACACTGTTAGAATGTTATTTTTGGGAAATAATATATAGACTGATACTACTTTTTCTCAGAAATAATTTTTAGTGTACTCTTACGATATTATCAGTGTGTTAATATATTCAAGGCTATGATATCAAGAGGTAACAGTGCGAATACTGTAATATAGTTAATGTATTACTCATTTATATTACTTCATGATTTCATTTCACTTTGGAAAACAGCAAGACTTAGCTCTTTATCAAGGTGTAGATATATATATTGGCCTGATCCTGCAATTGGTGTACTCTTCTGGCATATTAGTATTACAATAGCTGCATCTTGTCACAGTGCAGAAAACTTTAAGACTGTACTGTCTAATTCTTCCCTTATGACTAGGATGACATTTTTATAAGCGCAGAATTAAACAGTCTGATGATAAAATGAAATCTGTGTGGGAAGAAGTTCCAACCTGCAAACAGCAGTAGGGTATAATTTGTGAACAGCCTATCAAATGTAAACTGTCTATATCTCTTGCACTGGGGAAAAGAAAACCACCAAAAAAACCCACGAAAAATCAAGGTGCCTGTAAAACAAAACAATTTCTTGATATAACAAGTGATACCACTAAGGCGTAAAGCTGTTGTGATGTCTGTGCAAGTGAACTCAGACATGAGACAGGGTAAGTCTTCCGCTCTAAAATTGTTTCGAGTGGCTGCATTCATAAGGTAAAAAGATGTCCATTCATAAAATTTTTGACAAGTATCTAATTGCTTTTGTAATCATTTCTCGTAAAGTCTGTATTAACTTTTACTATTTATGCACCCAAAATGGATATAAAAGACATCATTAAAAGGCTTTACAATGCCAGTAACATCATGACTGGGTCATGTTTCCTTAGTGCAAGAGGTGAAACCAGAAATATCGATGCTGGGCAGATTCGACATAGTCATATGTTCACTAGCAGTGTTTAAGAAAGGGGAAACAAATGTCTTTTTACACTCTCTGAATTTTAACCTCTATGTGATTACCTTGAAAATTTGTCGGATTTCTTTTTTCCTTTTGTTGGGATAAGATTTGAAAAGAGAGTGTGACGATACGCTCCTAAAAAGTATGTGTGTGTATGTATGCACGTGTGCATAAAACACTTGTAGCAGGTATTTGTGATGATGTCTGGCCTAAAGCTCTGGTCATCGAGTACAAGAAACATTCAACATAAAGTGAGGTTTGTTTTGCCAAGTGCTAAGCAGCATGTTGGGCGAGTTATCTGTCTGCCTGGGATGGAGCTGTATTTTATAGTTTACAGGGAAGGGGCAAAGCTAGTTTGCAGCTTTGAAATTCACAGGCTTTCTGCAGGCTTCCTTTGGTAGTGAATGCTATTTAGTCTTGCTTTCAACAAGTGAATCCGTAGTGTTGCATTGCAAAGATTCTTCAGTTTTGTAAAAGGAGGGGAGAGCGAGGAAAATGAACATTAAAGCCAA